TTGATTAGATGGAGGGCAGTGAGAAATTGCATAGCAAAGGGCACTTAATGTGGGATCTTGAATATTAGACTGAGGTTTGGGGATGAGATCCAACCATTAAAGGAACTAGATCTAACCCTGTAAAAACTACTAAAGAGTTTTAGTGGAATTGTGTCTTCTGAAGGTTAAACTATGAGCAGTGTACCGCATAGATTAAAATAGGAAAAAATAGGAGCATATGCAATAATTTGTCACGAGATTGATGATAAGGGTCTAAACTAGAGTGGCTACTATGGTAATAAAAGTAAAGAGGCATAAGGTGCACAGCAAGGAAAAAATCGACTACACTTGGTGCCTGCTGGGGAGCTGAGGAGTTTGAGAAGAAAGAATGCTAAGGAAATAAGAAACAGTTCCCCAATGTCTTATTTAATAGATTTTTTTCTCCTTCAGTCTCCTTATAAATTTTGTAGGTGAGATAAAAATGAAATGAAAAAAGTTATACTAGATCCTCTTGGAGAACTAAATATGATTAAAGAGTCAACAGTTTTAATGGATCCTGGTTTATTCTGTAACTCAAGATTCACTTACAAAACTTGATCTATGATCCTGTATTTGTACATTGAGTAGCATTTTTGGGGGGATTTGTATATTAATGACAAAATATAATAAACTTTAACAAGTGGGACTTCAAAATATCATTAGTGTTACTTCATCAGTTCCAGTAAATGTTTTTTATTTCAACTAAAAATAAAAGCAGTATTCAATTTTGCCTTTGCTGCATTAGCTTAGGACAAGGTCCTTGTTTTCCAATGTTTTTCTTCTAAAGTTAAAACACATGTTCTGATTCCCTTTCCCACAACACTTGCTGTGATTGACTTTGGAACCAGAATCTTTGTGAGTCTACTGCTCCTGGGATGAGAAGAGGTTTTAGGTATTGCCTTGGCTTTAAGAGGAATTATCTTCTGGGCTGTTTGTTGCCTGAAAGACTGAATTTCCTTAGAAAAAAATTTTTCCCTAAAATATTTTCCAGTCACTCTTTATTAGGTACTTACCTCACTGGGCAAGAGGGTTTAATAGCTTCCTGCTTGTTGTCTTATTATTTCATGTCAATTTAAACATAGGCAGGAAACAATTATATTTCTAGATCCCGTGCTACCCCCTTGACCCACAGTATTGAGGACGTTACAAGTGACACTACTACTCTGATTCTCCCCAAATCATGCGTGAGTCAGAGCTGCCTTAAAAACTGCTACTTCTTTCCATTTGTTCTTCCAAGCTTAATTAAACAAAGTATACATTTAGATAGTAAAAACATGACATATAAACACATACTATACAGGGACTTCAAAACTTGTGGATCTGCTTAACTACCTTCGAACATTAAGAACTATCTTATTTGGGTGATAATAATGATTCACACTTACATAGCACTTACCACGTACCAGGGACCATTCTAAATATTTTAAATATTTCAATCCCGTTAATCTTCACAATAACCCTGTGAAGTTGATATTTTATTATCCCCGTTTTCCAGATGAGGAAACTGAAGCCCAGAGAGGTTATATAACTTTTCCAAGCAAAGTGGCAGAAGCAAGATTTTCAAGCAGCCAACCTGGTTCAAGGGTCAGCACTCATATCAAATAACTCGTAACTCGTGCCAAACTGCTGTCTTAACTCCTATCAAAATTCAATTTTGATGAGTGCAAGTTACTCTGCTCGACTTATACAGGACTAATTTTTTTGTCACCTTTTTCGCTTAAAATATGACTTTGAGAAGTGTATTTTAAAGTTCATTCATTGTCTTCCATAAATATTTATTCAGCATCAACGGTTCACTGTGCTTAGTGCTGAAGATGCTGTGAGCAATGAGCAGACGTGGCTGCGCACCTGCTGGAGAAGAAATGGCAGCGCAGCAAGGGCTTGCAAGAGAGTGAATAAATGGTGTGTTAGGAGTGTAATCGGGACAGTACTGAGGGCCTCGTAAGTCATTTACTGCAGGGAGCACTTCGCTGTTGGGCAGAGAGATGCCTCTGAAAGTTTTATGTAGGAAAATGACCAGATCCAATATGCATTTTACTAAGCAAATCTGCCCTCACTGAGGAAGACGCACTGCAAGGAAGCAAGATTGGGGCAAGGACAGCAGCTGTGACCGTCATCCAGGCAAGTGAGAATGGTGGCCTCCGCTAAACTGATGGCAGGGAAGATGGAGACAGGAGGATGAATTCAAGAGAAGGTAGAGGTGGGACAACTTAGAGTTTCGAGGTGGTGAGTTAAGGAGGAGTAGGCAGAGGCTCCAGGCGAAGGCTAAGTGGGGGTGTCATTTACTGAATTAGGGGCCACTTTAAAAGGATTGTGCTGATAAGTAAGGAAATAATGCAATGTGATGGACACTTTTGCAATGACTCCCAAAGAAAATAATTTAAGAAGCTGAGAAACAAAGCACAAAAAGTTATCTATGTCCTTAGAATGTTTCTATTGAAATCATAGAATATGTGTTCAGACACTAAACCTTTACCACTATGACCAAAATACTAAACCAAGAACACATTTATTGGTACTCTCTAGAAGGGCAGTGAACTAATGAGAGTCACAAATTTAAAGATCAAAGGAATAGAGAAATCTTGTAGGAGCCCCCTCTTGTAGGAAAGATATAGGAAATCACATCCTTAGGCTGGGGCTGGCTGGACTAAGAGAAAGGCTCTGAACTGGGGCACAGAAAGGCTACAGTCCTCCCACCCAGGGCTATTTGTAGCCCTCCCATTTGTCCCCTCCTCACCCGCCCTATCTCTTCCCTTCCTATTCTGCCTTCAGACTCCCCAAGTTTTAGCCCCTCCCCAAGTTTTAGCCTCCACTCCCCACTACACCACACCGCAGTCAAATATCTTTACTCCAGTGATTAAGGAGGGCATTCATCTGCCTAGAATAATCACACCCAGGGATAGAATGGGGCTCAATCCTTTCAGAGAAAAATTTCCATTGTTAACGCTGTAAAAACTAGAGAAGGGAATGTTGGGAAAGAAACAGTCAGCTCTTGCTTTTGTGGAGACCTCATACCTGTTTTTCAAGAGGGCCAACAAATGAAACTGACTCCGGCTGGATAATTCATGGATATATCAGTTTGAATGTGTGCTCTCCCTTCTCTTTTCTCTACCTCTCCCAAGCAGGTACCAGGCCTTTGTGTCCTCTTACATCAGGGAACGTGTGTGCAGAAGAGAGAGAGTAGGACTGGTTTGTCATCAACCCTCCCTTCTCACCTTTGTTTTCAAGAACCCCAAGACCCTGGAGCTCCTCTTCCAGGGCGGGGAGACCAGTGCCTTTGAGCACGGTGCTCTGGAAGGAGACAGCTGCAGGATGAGCTTAGAGAGACTGGCCTCTAATCCCAGGGTTCTCAGCCTTGTCAAAGGCTGTGAGTGGCCCAGAAGCAACCAAGTTGACCCTTAGGGGATCTTGTAAGTCTGGAACATGGACACATTTGAGGCATCCAGGAGATTGGTGACTAGAGGAGCATCCTGTATGGTCAACTCTGAGTGTGTCTCCACATACCCAAGGAACTTTGAGGACCTTAGGATAAAAGGACAGCAATAATTACTGAGATGGAATTCACCCCAGGCATTCAGAACGGGGCTCAGAAACTCATTTAATTTGTCTTCAAGTAAACAACATTTCTTAGCACACAGGGGTTTGTGGGTTCAAACTTATACTCATTTGAAGAGAATAAACTTTAGAGCCACATATAATCCATACTCCCACCACCTGCTTATAAAAGAGCACCAAAAATATAAAATAGAGAAAATCTCCCAAACAATCATTTAGGAGCGACTACATGTATTATTATAGCTTCATGGCACCCAGTTCTCTACATCATTATTTTCTTCCAAGCGAGACTTTGAGGAAGCAATCAGGTTTATTTTTACATTGAACATACAATATGTTAACAATGTTATAAAACAATAATTTATCTCCCAAGGGTCCTAACTATCATAACAACATCTATTTTTACATGTTATCTTTCACTGGCATAATTTCACACATTTGCAGTCATATCTGGTAGACTGTTCCATTTCTTTCTCAAAAGCCTGTGAGCAGCAAATAATCTTCTAAACTTGAGAATTACTGAGAGAAGACACCGATTAACTAGATCCAGAGAATTCTAGAGGAAAAATAAGGGTGACCTGGTCATGATATGCAACACAGGGAAGGCTTCATGGGAGATTCTAAAGCACATCGTTGGTTGTTTGCATGCTCTTTGATTCTTGGACTGATGCTTTTTACCCCCTTTTTTCACTGCCACCTGTTTTCTTTCCTGAAACAGCTTGGGTTCTCCAAATAACCTGAGCTTTAGAAATAGCTCAGACCTATTCTGGCCAAATAATCAAATCAGCAAAATTCCCCTTTTGCGTTGTCCTGGTGGCTCCTCCTCTGTTAGCAGTTTGATGGAGAGAGCACTGGACGAGTTAGACCCCAGGTCTGGTCCTCCCTTCGTCTACTTTCAGGAGTTTTGTGGGCAAGTCACTGCCCTTAACAAACCTACATAGTTACCATTAAAATGTGAACGCAAATACTGATCCTATCTACCCTACAAGGTTGCTGTGAGGATCAAAAGTATCACAATCTGGGGAAACATTTCAAAAACTGTAACGCGGAACATAGATGTAAACTATTGCATAGGACCAAATCATCGATCTTAAATTTAATTGCATCGGCTTTTCCCATCTGTCCTTTCTAAGCAGCTTAACTGAATTTAAGAAACAGTTGCTACCTGGAGTGACCCACTGTGTGTGCGTTCTGTTGTCTGGAAAAATGTCAAATCAGCTGCAGAGCACACTGGGACAGGCATTATTATAATTCACTACATCATACCATTAGTTAGAGGGAATGCTTTAAATCCAACCAGGTGAGTTTTTTTCTTTCTACTCAGTTTTAGAAGAAAAGGTACTGAACTGTCATTAAGAAAAAAATGATAACACTTTTGTTAACTTCACAGCCATTTACTCTATTATCTTTTTTGCCATTTTTTGCAGAAGTCACGTTTCACTCTCAGAAAAGCACTGAGCTGACTTACCGATCAATGGGACTTGCTAAGAGCAAGGTTTGTGGCCCTGTTTTCTCTTCTTTCTGGAATTATCACTTTCCCCTGTTGTTATTCTATGTTGACCTCGTTGATTTTAGAATGGCATTTTTTTAGTCAAAATTGTTTTATTTTGAACATAAAAGCAAATTAAGCAGATCTCTTATCTTAAAATTGCTTGATGGAATCACTTAGAATTAAAAATTTATCTTACCTCCAAAGGAATGGATTGGTTTAGTGGGTTTATTTTTTTTCAGTTTTATTAGAAAAGTTATCATAAACTTAGATGAGATATATTTGGCTCAAAGGAAATTAGAAGGGAAAAGTGATCCAAGATAATGTGGTGGTTAAAAATAAAAGGCCACAGAGTTGGTTCCATGGCCCAGTGGTCAAGTTCATGTGCTCTGCTTCAGCAGCCCAGGGTTTTGCTTGTTCGGATCCTGGGCACAGACTTGGCACTGCTAATCAAGCCATGCTGAGATGGCATCCCACATGCCACAACTATAAGGACCCACAACTAGTATACAACTATGTACTGGGGGGCTTTGGGGAGAAGAAGAGGAAGGAAAAAAAATAAAATCGTAAAAAGTAAAAGAAATAATTAATTAATAAAAGGCCACAAATTATTTAACACTTCTGACATCAAAAAGAGCTTGAGACTGCTTTAATGACTAGACTGTAGTGGAAAAAACACCATGTGATTTCCCAAGCTAGATCATAAAAGGTAATGTTTTCTGCCCCTTTCTTTTGAGACACTCTTTTTGAGGGAAGTTGGACATCATGGAAGAGGTCCTACTACACTGAAACACCATACCAGAGAGGTATCTTTTGGGGGGATCCAGAGAGACAGCCCCAGATGAGCTCCCAGCCAACAGCCAGGCTCCAAGGCAGCCACATGGGTGGCCCTTTAAGACATGTGGCCCAGCTGAGCCCCCAGATGACTGAAACCTCAACTGACATCTGGTCTACAACTGCATATGAGATCCCATGAGACCGGCCCCGCCCAGCCCGTCCCAGACTCCTGAGCACAAAGGCATGAGCAAAGTAAAAGAAAGTACCTCTAAGATTGGGGATCATTTTTTACACGGCAATATTAGTTAGAACGGTAGCCCCAAAGTTAATTTATGTGAATCTTAGGAAGCTGGTAAGGCTAATGTACAATTTTCAAACAACCAAAGCACCTACTCCTGGCTTTATCATTCATCAACCTTGTGAGCTAGCCAAAGTGTCATTCTAATGCCTTTGTTCACTTGTCTATAAAATGGGAATATCTATTTTCAGAGTTATTATAAAGTTTAAATGAGAATACATGTAAAAATCCTTTCAGAAGGGAGCATGTATAAAGCATTATCATGAGACTAGACTTAACTAATTATAATGTAAATATAATAGAGATGTTATATTAGCTTTTTTTTACAAATCAAATTTTCAAAAAGATATTTAAGATGTTTTCTTATTTTCCATAATATTTGCTGCTGGATTGAGGGGATAGGTAGAAAGAATACAAATCCAATCAAGGTACATAAAAGCACATGCCCATTTAGAGTTTCATTTTCTTTCCTCTTCTTATTGTGATATTACTCAGCATAATGTATTATGGGTTTTAGGGTGATTTGTATTCATCATAAAATTTTCCTTCAGTATTATTAGAACCCATTGTGAGATGCTTAGGACAGTTTGAAAGTCATTTATCATTCAGAATTTATGATAAAACCACTCTTAGGCAGCTTCTAGACAGTCATATTTACCATCTGAAAAAGCAACATAGTGAAAGAAGATTTGGGAAGTGACCTTGCTGTTTTCCTATTGTGCTATTGTGATAAATATCATTAAGGCTAGAACTTTTTAACATCAGTCCTATCAAGAATCAACTGTTAAGATAGCTTAAAAGCTACGTTCTCACATTTTATTTCTGACTATTTTCCCTGGATGGTAAATGAACTGTTTCTAGTAATCATAGTCCTCCATGTGGCATTGGAGTGTACTTTTTAAATCATTGACATTTACTAAGGTCTTTCAAGAGATGAAGGCTGCATTCTTCAGACTGTGTTTCTGGGAATTACACATATATATGTTTATCTAGACTTCCTTTTCTGTGCAAAGAAGTTGGGCTACCCCCTTGATAACGCCTCATTGGTCTGCAAGGCTGCTTGGAAAGGAAAGTTGTCCTTCTCTGCCCTGACAGAAATGTTTGGCATTTCTAGATATTTACCATTTTCTAGAGTCATAGATTACAGAAGACAAAGAAGAGATGCCCCAATTTCTCAATATCCCAGTGGTAACACCTAATTACATTCATGTTGGTGTTGAACGGTACAGTAAATCTATACTCCTGTGTGTATGCCTCCTCTTTCTTAAAGCAATAAAGAAAAAAAAATATCATCCTTTGTCTAGAATCGTTAAGAAAATACCAACCCTCATTTTGGAAGAGTATAAATTATTTTGGTAAGTATTATTGTTTTCCAGTACCAAAGCCAGTTCTTCAACACAAAGTTTAAAGTGTGAAACTTTTTTGTATAAAAATCTTCCATGATTCTAATGAAGAATAAAGCAAAAATTACACAGCATTTAAAGTCCCTCCCCCCAAATTTAGATGCTTATTATTTATTCTGGGCTTATTTCTCTCAATTCTCTCCTGCTGACCCTACCCACCAGTGTAACCAGTCTCTCACTGCCAAACATCCTCTTAGACTTTACTTTAACTATTCCCACTGCTAGGAATGCACTTCTCTGATATGTCAACAGTTGAAAAAGCCCTACCCATTCAAATTCTTACTTCTAAGTCTTCCCATATGTTCTCCAACCACAATTATCTGTCCTTCAGACATATCTTCAGAAGAATTTGATTATATTTCTATTAATGGCTTATAGTTAACTTTACTTTATCATTCATTATATACTGTGTTTGAAATTAAAGATTCTTGATGTGTTGGTTGTCAAGAATTGTAAAGAGTCTGTGATCTCATCTGGATGCAAGCTAAGAAGTTTGCCTAACGGAGGCATGAATGCTGAAAGAAGATATGAAACTCCTGGGTCAGAAACAAAGGACTTTATTAAGTAAAGATATAGCAGTACCAAGAATATCAGCATTTGCACCAGTTCTCTGAAAGCTAACTCCCATAGGGTGACATGAAGAAGTTCAGGTAATGCCTGCATAGGCAGTTGATGGCATAATGGAGAGGAACCCTGAGCCCAGAGAACCCAACTCCTTTATAATGAGCAGTAAACCTGCCTGACCTTTGCCCAGAGGGAGGTATTATTTTTATTATACTGGAGAGTACATAGACCTGCTTTTTGTTTCAGAGACAGCTTTCTTTGCTGTCTTCCAAGTCTGTTCACTATACAAACATCCTTGAAAAGATAGCCTGAAAAAAACGCAGTCAACATGCCTGCTCTTGAGACATGAAGAAATGTGACATATCCATGTCTCCTAAGATGAGTTTCCTCCATATTGGTCATGCTTCCCCTAGACTATAAGCCCCTAATGGACAGGGAGACTGTCTTACTCATATTTCTCTTAAAATAAATGTTGTTTGTTGAAGAAAGTCCATCTAATCTTCTGAGTAAATAGAGTGATATACCAAGAAAGTTAAGAGTTTCCTGGGAGGATAGTGTCCACATGGTGGCATAAGCGGACTCTGAAATCACTTCCTTCCATAGACACAAAAACTTACAACTATTCTTGGAACAAGTAGCACTGAAAGAGAGCTGAAAACTGGATAAAAAGAACGTGTGCAGCAAGGGACAGTGCTAACATAAGTGGAAGAGGCAGAAATTCCTTTCTGGAGAGAGAAAAGCCACCTTCACTAGCCATGGCACTTCACAGCCAGCTTAGGAGCAATCCTAAGGTACACAGCATTCCCTGGAGGAGTGAGAGATCTGAACAGGGGAGCATTACTGCTATAAGCAGCTTTCAGACTCAGCACAACTGAGACAAGTGTCATAATATCTGGCTTTGCTGGCTATTAACTACAACGGGGAATATCCCTAGAGAAGCTATCAGACATGAGGGGAAAAAAGCCCGCTCTTAAAGAGCCCATGCAAAAAATCACTCATTTTGGAAAGCAACATAAAATCACCAGAAAGAAAGGTGCACAGTCCTTTGGTGAAAAGACTCACCTGATAGCCTCTGGGTGCATCTCAGTGAGAGGTGAGACCTCTCCAGGGACCAAGGCATTGGTGGCAGCCATTATTGTGACATAGTACAGGCATGCTAACACAGACATTGGCAGATACCTTTGGGGTTCTATACATGGCCTATTAGCCCAGGGGTCTGCCACACCCACTAGAGTGCCAATTTAATCCAGCTCAGCCAGGGTAGGCAGCCCTAGCGACTGGCCCACTAAACAGCAAGACCTCTGGCAACTTATGGGCCAGCATAGGCAGGGGGCCTGGAACCTCAGCAACCATGCAAGTGGGTCCACCTTGGCAAGGCAGGGCATGTGGGGTCAGGATCCTGCATTGGTGGATTGTGTGGGGCCTCTGCAGTGGGATGACTGGGTCCACTTCAGTGGGTCAGGGTGTGGGCATGAGGCAGGACTGTGTTGACAACATTTGTGGCTCTGAAGGCAGTTGGACCTGTCAGCTGCAACAGACTTGTGCTTCTCAAACAGACACATAGGAGATTGGCCCCACCTTCCAAAGCCTGAAACAATTAGGTACTCCCATGCTGGGGAGAAGCCCGACTCAGCTGCAATCCTGAGAGGGCTGACAACAGCCTTGCAGGTCAGAAGCCTACAGCAATTGTAAGCCCTTGAACCTGGCAACCAGCCATGCTGGGGGCCTACTTACTTAACAGAAAAACTGCAACAGGAATGTGCTATTAGACCTTGAAGCCAACTGTGCTGGGGTTCCCCATGCCAAATAAAGTGACTGAAGGGTCCATAGCAGCCACATGTAGCTGAGCATTGCAACAAGCTAGCCAGGGGAACGGCTTGGCCTCCCTGGGCACCTGCAGCAAGAGTAACCCTGCCACAACAGAAGGACACATGTAGCCCACACAGGGGACACTCCTAGAACAT